AGCACTGTGTGAAGCTCGAGAGCGACCCCGTGCAGCACGACTGGGTCTCCGCCGTCCTCCCCTTTGACTGCTTCCAAGCGCCCCAGTCCTCCCCTGTCATCGCCCACCGGGTGGACGACGTCAAGTATGACTTCTTTTTATCGTTGCTGGACTTTGGAACGAGGAGACGGCCGAATAGGAATATGGTTCGGCTGATGGAGGACCGGCCGTTCCTGAAGCCGGAGCTCGCTGTGGCCATGCAGGTACGGAGGGTTTCGGGAATGCGGGTATGGGGAGGGGTTTGGGAATGCGGGTATGGGGAGGGGTTTGGGAATGCGGGTATGGGAAGGTTTGGAAGGGTACGGAGAGGTTTGGCAATGCAGGGATGGAGAGATTTGGCCATGAAGCTATGAAAAAATATATTGATCTTGGCAAGTGGACTGCTGTTTGAGGAGATGTTGCGTGCTTTTCTCTTTATAAGAAAGTGCAGCTTGCCTAGTGTGCGACCCTAGGCTCACCGCAATATCCCCGTCCCCACCATCCACCTCTCTTCCCCCCTTCTTCAGTCGGTACTCGAAATGCTTATTGAGGCCAAGGCCGTTCGCCCCGACTCCCTAGTCATTGACGCGGGGGCGGGCATAGGGGGAGCAGCCTTTGCAGCAGCAGCTATGGGTGTGCGCGTGTTGGCGCTCGACCCTGTGCTGGCGAACGTGCTCAAGATGTGCGACGCGGTGCATTTGAACCGTGTGTCGAAGCGCGTGAAACTTCACCTGGCTGCTGTCTCGGACAGCGTGAGCAACATCACCATTCACAATGTAAGTTTGTGAACCCGCACCGACATGATCATAAGGTAAGGTTTGGGCGTGCGCATGTTGGCGCTGGACCCTGTTCTGGCGAACGTGCTCAACATGTGTGATGCGGTGCATTTGAACCGTGTGGCAAAGAGAATGAAGCTGCACCTCGCTGCTGTCTCGGACAGTGTGGGCAACATCACGATTCACAGTGTGAGTGTCTGAGCCAGCATGAGCACTCACAAAGTGATTAAGCCTCTGATGAGCAGGGCTCGACCCTGTGCTGGCCAACGTGCTCAAGATGTGTGATGCGGTGCATTCGATTTTACCTTGCTGCTGTTCAGATACTACAGGCAGCATAACCATCCACAACGTGAGTCTGTGAACCAAACAGCACCATTCGTAACACTAGTCTGTTAATGAGATTCAACCTGTGCCGGCTAATGATGCGGAGGTGGTGTCGGCCTAAAAGTCACCCAAAAGTCTCACATCTTGCGCGAGATGTGTGACTTTGGGTTGACTCCAACGCCACCTACCCTGCACCACCCCTCCCTTTCCGTTGCCCCTCCCACCCAACCATGATCAGGTCATATCCAACCATGATCAGATCGTACACAGTGTTGTGGTAGCAGCAGTGCTCCATCTTCCTTGTTCCTTGCATCTTCCATCACAGACAGCTCTTGCCCACCTGTTCCCCCATCATCCCTCCCCACCAACCCACACACTGTCAGATCCTATCCAATCTTGAGCACAGTGCAGTGACAGCAGCAGTGCTTACCCTCGCATCAAAAGATGCCCCTGTCATTCCCACCACAGTGGAATCCCTCCCTATAGACTCCCTCGTTTTACCAGACCAGCATGTAGCTGTACTGAAGGTGACTGTACAGGGATGGGAGCTGCATGCATTTAGGGGTGCTGCTGGGTTGCTCAGCCGCCCGCCAAAGGAGGCACCGTGTGTCCTTTATGAAGAAGACAGGATGTTGTTGCGGGCAGGGAACACGACGCCGGCTGCTGTGAGGGGGTTTCTGGCGGGGTATGGCTATAGTGAGTGTGACCAAGCACATGGGCTTGTGCACTGTAGGAAAAAGGGTTCTTTGCTAGACGCATAAAGTACAAATGTGGTTAATACTGTGTATTGTAGCCAGTAATTGGTTTGGGTGACAAATGCTGTTTTTAGGAGGTGCCATACTGTATATGAATACACTTACCAATATTATCGGTACTTTTCTGGGTGTGTGCTCCATGTACCAGAATGTGGACTGGAGCAGTAGCATACTCTAACAAACATTCCAGGTTTCAGCTGTAGTTTTGGGGTGATTCCAGATATGTCCAGCCTACAGGGTTTTGTGGGTGTGCATGAGCTTTTATGTTGCCATCATCCCAGTTTTGTGGGTCGTGTGAGGTTCTGGATATGTGTTGATGGGCTCGTAACTCGTTTATCTCATCTAGTTGTTTTTCCAGCAAATGCGCATGGTTTGTCATATTAATTCAAGGAGGTCCAACCTTCGTTCTAACGAGTATGGTTGACTCGTCTCATCCTCCTTCCTACACTGTTGACAGAGGCTGTCAGTACCCACCACCCTTGCTCGTTCCAACAAACACGAAGGCTGTACTTTTGGCAAAGCCGTTACCGACGAGCTAGGCCTGCCCTCGGGTTTGTTGGTGGTGGTGAGATTCACCTGAGATGTTTCTGCTGCCCGACAATGACTTCAAGGAAGGGCTCTCCTCGAATCTTTCAGGGTCAGATGTTTTGAAACCGTCGCTCCAATACTTGTGCAATTCCTTATCATCCCATTGGTCTCCAACGACTGTCTGTTATTTCGCTCGCTGCAAACAGCTCCCTCGAGCTTCTGTCAGGGCAGGGGGGGATGCTTGGGTTGCATTGCGGTTGGAAACTACGTTTGAATCCCGCCCAGAAGCAACCAGCAAAATCGACGTTGTCCGCTTTGGCATGACGCAATCCGCCAATCTAATCATGGTCAATAAACGCCAGTGTGCCATCCCCCGTCAACAGTTGCTATCTGTCAACACGTTACGTCGCGACTGTGACCAACGTCCACTCTCAACGACTCACGACAGATTGCCAGCTGGAGTGCAGTGAAAGCAACCAGCTCAGTATGGTAACCAGCTTTGGCTTTTTTAACAACCATTAGCAAGGCCGCTATTTTTGTTGCAAGGCTACCCTATCGACAAGCACAAGCACCAGAAGCAGAAATTGAGTGATCGATGATAAGGGCGTGTAAAATTGTTACGACCAAACGCTATGGTCGATTATTTGGGCGTTTCTGGCGTTGTCCGCATGTTGTTTCACAGGGTCCGAGCACACATGTGGTTTCACAGCACAAACGTCGTTGCGGATTTTCGGCCACATCGACCCCATACGAAAAGCATACGGGAATCCATCCCCATAAATTCTCCATTGTTCGGCAAAAACAACGACGAACGGCCTTTGACAGAGCCGACCTCAACAAAATCTCGAGGTATGATCGCCTGAATTTTCTATCTTCCTCACGTGCTTGGGCATCAGCAATCACAATAACAGCAGAAAGGATAACCGGGGTTTGAACTGACCTGACCACGCTTCTGTCTTATCAGAATTGATGGCTCGAGTCAGCAGCGCTGCTCCTCCAATTTCCCGCTCCGCATGCAAGCACAGCTGCGCCGCAAATTCCTCCCCCTCCTAAGCATTTTCCCCACGCCGCAAATCTTCGGCATTTTCCACCTCAAAATCCCTCCGCCGCGATTTTCACCTGGAAAAAATCCTCCGCATCGCACTCACCACCCTTGGATCCGCATTTTCCCCACTGCACTTCACCCGCCACTTCCATCCTTCCGTTACGTCTTTATGTCCTTGTGGCATTCCCTGCCAACACACATTCGATGGTCGTTTTCGCCTCTGTATACACATGACTCTGACGGTTGCGATCGAGATAGCTCAATCACAGTAACGACGCGTGATTTCGTTCTTCCATTGCAGTGATTCCAGGCTTAGGAATTTGGAAGCCACGGCTTCTAACAAAATCGTTTTTTTCTCGAAGCCGACACTGGAGCACGATTGCGAGTTGGGCCAAAGAACAGAGTTATTGTCATGGCGCGGCCAAACGATCCGAGACATCAATTCGCGCATTTCGGAATCGGCGAGCTGCTTTCGCGAATGTCAGAAAACGTTACAGAAAGTGACGCGGGCGCATCCGCCGCGCTCGCCTCCTCCGGGGCCGCGAGGCGCATCGCGGTGCGGCTGCTCATCGGAGCCGGCGGAAGCGGCAATCTTGGAGGAAAGTTGAGCGGAAGCGGCGGAAGCGGAAACTTCGCAGCACTTTCCGGTCCCGTAGGGGCAACTAGTGGGGTTACCAGCATTGCCAACAGCAGGCGTGGCGAAAGATCCATCGCTAGCGAAACCCCCGCCGCGGGCGGCGGAAGCCCAGACAGCCTCGCGGGATGGGTATCGAGTCCAAAAGATCCCCGCAGGAGACTTTCGCAGAAGTCTGTTTCTGAGAGCTCGGAGCGCGGCGCGTCTTCCGGGAAGAATGGAAGGAAAGGCCAGGCGAGCGCGTGGGAACAATGCGACGACCTGATGGTTGATTGGCTGGGCTCCGTGGAGGAATGTGGATCCTCGGACGAAGCTGGCGGAGCGGCTGGGGGCGCTGCGCAAGTCGCCGCTCCGCGGCGTGGCGCGCAGAGCGCGCAGGAAGAGGGCCGAGCGGGAGCCCGCGGGGCTCCGGGGGTGCAGGACGAGCGCGAGAGGCAGCGGGAGCGGAGCGGGTTGGACCGGCGGAACTTATTATCCATCCCTCGCGTCTGCTCCGATGAGATCGCGCCGCGCCACCTTTCTCGCACGAACAGCTGTATCGATCATCCGCGGCCGGTCACGGCGCAGCGGGAGAAGCCGCGCAGCAGTTTTGACGGAGAGCGGGAGCGCGAGAGGGAGGCGGAGCGGGAGGAGAGGGGGCGAGTGAAGGGCGGAACGCGCAGAGGGGAAGCGCAGCGGCGAACGCGAAGGGGGAGAGCGGAAATTTGTCGCGAACGTCCAGCTGTATGTCGGTTGGCGGCGACGAAGTTCGGCGACTGGAGAACGAAATCGCGGTCTTGCGGCGGCAGCTGGTAACTGTCGGCCAAGCCAAGACCGCCTTTGGCAATGCCGGTTCGGCAAGTGGCTCGGGCCAAGCCAGACCGTGCCAGCATTCCGGGCCTCAGGCCGAGGCTCGGTCACCAGAATGGCAGAGCATCGCGATGGAGGTGGTGGAACTAAGGGGTCAGCTGGACGAGTTGTCCGAAGCTAACGGACGCTTAACGGAGCTGCTTGAAAGGAGGACGCAGGAGCTGGTCGCGACAAAAGAGGAGCTGATAACGGCCAAGGAGGAGCGCGACGCGCTGGCCAAAGAAATGGAGGCGCTGCTCGAGTCCCTGTCAGCATCGCCGCCTGCTGACGTGGCAAATACAGGCATGAGCGCCTTGCAGCAGCAACAGCAGCAGCAGAGGGTGCAGCAGGCGGAAGAGGAGGCACGGCAGCTGCAGGTACTACTCGAAACGGCCATGGCGGAGAGAGACATGGCTGTGCGCCTTGCTGCCGCCACAGGGAGACTCCCTGCGGGGCTCATTCCATCTACCAGCGTTGGCAGCATCGCCCGTTCATCCAGTGAAGAGCCGTCGCCTCGGCTGCGTTTCACTCCCCTGGACGTCCGCTTCCGCACGTCAACCCTCAACTCCCGCTCCAATTCCCCCTCGCCGGCTACTTCCTCCTCCCCCATGCTCCCCTTTTCCCCTTCCATGAACTCCTACTCTCCCTCCGCCTCATTCTCGCCTTCTGCCGCCTCCTTCTCGCCCTCCTCTTTCTCCCCCTCCAGCTCTCTTACAAACTCCCCCTCATGTCTGTCTCCCGCCGGCCGCCCGAGTGCGTACACACCATCGCCGTTCCGCTCACACAGCGAATCCAGTTCGGGCAACCGTGTTGACACCATAGCCAAGTCGTGGCTTGGCGCCGAGCCTGCAGGGCAGCCTCGGCACGGGATGATGAGGAGCTCGAGTCGGGGCCTGGTGACGTCAGCCATACCAAGCATGGACCCTGGTAGTCCCTCTGTTAATGCTGGATGGAGGGGAGCGGCGAGCGGGGAGGTGCATGTGGGGAAGGGGCACCTGAGGCGGACTTCAACTGCAGGAGGTGCCATTGAGGCGAGGCGTGTGTGGGAATCGCGATCGCCCATTTCGATGAGCCGACCCGGAAGTGCCGATATAGGTGCGCTGCAACAAGGGGCGGAGCATGCTGTGGGGAGCAAGGCTGCGGATAAAGGGGCGAAGAAAGGGGGACTGAAAGGCATACTTTCACGCAAGTCTAAGCAAGTGAGATGGTCGTATGACTTCGACCAGGAAGGCGGTTTGTGAATAAAAGCTCAGGAAGCGTGACAAAGGTCATGGTTCCTATACCTTTTTGGCGGCTGCACACAAGAGATGCAGCTGCTTTGATATCCTGACTCCTGTACCATATATTCGTTTGTTTGTTTACTGATGATTTCATTAATTTGTTTTTACACAGTTTCTATACATGCTGTGGACGAAGACTTGTTGATGCGTGTATCCAAAGGCAATTCCCCTATAGCGAACACTCTACACGGTTCTCTCCATTTTCGACCTCCAACGAAATCGCAAGGGGGAAATCAAGCGGTCAGGCCAGCATCACTGACGTGTCAACTTCTCGCGCAGACGTCACATCCTAGTCAGGCCATGCTGGATCCAAGCTTCCCCTAAAACAAAGCGCTTCGGAGGAAGAGGTCAAACTTCGAGGTTAGCTATGTATGTCGTAAGAATTTACTCCTTCGTTTGAACTTCGCGAACCAGCCTCGTGTAACTTGTTTCCTATGTGCAGCAATATTCGCGAATTCACAAGCAAGGCAGTGCACCATTGTATCCCCATTTGCGATCTTCTCGCCCAACATCCTCAACTTTTCGCCTGTCAGTTGATTCTTGTAGCATGCATCTGGGAAACAATCCCCACCATGAGACCAAAAGCTCCGCGCTGGGCATCTGTATCCGCAGTATTACATTCCGTCTCGTTCCCTCCGCCTCCCTCGCTTCGTCTGACCCGCTTCGCCTGCTCAACCGTTTCGCATGCGCCAGTGGTTGCGCTGCGCTTGCGAGTCACTTGGAGTTGCCAGATTTTCACAGATTCTTCGCGCGGGTCACCATTGAGAAAATTCGCAAAGTTTGTTACAGGCGACGCGTGCGAAGTCATTCGCAGCTGCCAGACCGATAAGCGCTAGGCTTCCAGTGCGCCATGATTCTATGGGTGCTTCAAGCTCGAGCCGCGAGCGCACGGGCTCGCGTACTCGCGACGCGTTCATGGTTCGGAGTTCCGGTTCCGCCCAGAGGCGCGGGAGTCTTTCCGCGGTCGTCTCGGTTCCGCGCATCCCATCACTCGCCCGCCTCCGCGTCGCCGCCCTCCGCGGGATTTGCGATGCCCCAGGCGACCCTTGCCGCCGGGTTGGGCAGTGCTTCCGCCACTGCTGCTCCCCGCCTCACGCGCATGCCCCTCCGCCGCCGCCTTCTCCGCCATCCCCGCTTCCGCCCGTTTCTCCACCGTCACTCGCGCCCCTTCCGCTGCCTTCTCGCCTGCTGACGCATTCTCCTCCGCCGCCACTGCCCCCCGCCGTTTCCTCCGCGTCCCCCGCTTCCACCTCGTCCGCCGGCGCTTCCGCCGCTCCCCGCGCCCCCCCCGCCCTCGTGCCCATCTCGACGGTCCTCGTGGCAAATCGCGGCGAGATCGCGTGTCGCGTGATGCGCACTCTAAAGCGCCTCGCGATATTCGCTCAGTGGCCGTGTACAGTGATGCGGACCGCGACGCGCTCCACGTGCGATCCGCCTGACGTTGGCGTTCCGCGTGGGGGCCCGCCGCGGCGCGAGAGAGCTACCTGCGGGGCGACGCGATCCTGGAGATTGCAGAGCGATGCGGGGCGCAGGTGAGTTGTTGGAGAGGGGAGAGGGATGGGGGCATGTGAGTTGGTGGGGAGAGGAGGGGGATTGCAGGTGCGTTTGGGGGAGGTAAGAGAGGGTGTCTCTCAAGGCCATCCATTCACCCCATTGTCATTGCATACCCCTCGTGGTGAGGGCTTTCTCTCGGGAAGTGACTTTTGAGTCAACTCGAAAGAGTCGTGTGCAATTGTAACGAGGTGACTTTTGAGTCGACTCAAAAGAGTCGTGTGCAATTGTAACGAGGTGACTTTGAGTCGACTCAAAAAGAGTCGTGTGCAATTGTAACGAGGTGACTTTTGAGTCGACTCAAAGAGTCGTGTGCAATTGTAACGAGGTGACTTTTGAGTCGACTCAAAAGAGTCGTGTGCAATTGTAACGAGGGACTTTGAGTCGCTCAAAAGAGTCCGTGTGCAAATTGTAACGAGGTGACTTTTGAGTCGACTCAAAAGAGTCGTGTGCAATGTGTAACGAGGTGACTTTTGAGTCGACCTCAAAAGAGTCGTGTGCAATTGTAACGAGGGGACTTTTGAGTCGACTCAAAAGAGTCGTGTGCAATTGTAACGAGGTGACTTTGAGTCGACTCAAAAGAGTCGTGTGCAATTGTACGAGGTGACTTTTGAGTCGACTCAAAGTCACCCCTCGTGGTGAGGGCTTTCTCTCGGGAAGTGAGCGCGGCGTTTGCTGCTTCTGACCCCAAGTGCCTAACCTCATGCTCCCCCCTCTCTCCTCTCCTCGATACTCTCCATGCATCCCACCCCCTCTACCCACCCCCCCCCCCCCCTTACTCCCATGCCCCGTCCCCCCCCCCCCCTCTCTTCCCCCCCCCCCCCCCCCCTCACCCACCCCCCCCCCCCCTCTCACCCCCTGTCCCAGGTCCAATCCCTATCAGGCCATTCACCCCCGGCTATGGCTTTCTCTCCGAGAATGTCTGACTTCGCTGCAGCGTGCAAACAGAGGGGGCGATTGACTCCATTGACTTCCCCCCGCCCTCTCTCCCGCCCTCTACTCTCCCCCCTCTTCCCACCCTATCAGGCCATTCACCCGGCTATGGTTTTCTCTCCGAGAATGCCTGGACTTCGCTGTACAGCGTGAATGCAAACAGAGAGGACTGGAATTCATTGGGCCGCCGCCAAGTGCTATCCGGGCGATGGGGGACAAAAGGTGATCATAGGACGTGCTTGTAATGCGTGTAAGCCATTGCCTGCAGACAGAGGGGCGTTAGACGTTCATCGGGCCGCCGCCAAGTGCTATCCGGGCGATGGGGGACAAAAGGTGATTATAGGACGTGCTTGTAATGAGTGTAAGCCATTGCCTGCAGACAGAGGGGCGTAGAGTTCATCGGGCCGCTGCCAAGTGCTATCCGGGCGATGGGGGACAAAAGGTGACTATAACGAAGGACTGTAGTGAGTTTGCTTGTACTCGAAGAATCGTCAGCCTCCCAGAGAGCGGTGTGTTTTTAGTGAATGGGGTATTGGATGTGCTTGTACTGAGTGTGACTTGAATGTGCTTATACTGAGTTCTACTGCGACCATTCCATGTCTCCACTCTCCAAAATCCCCCCTTCCGTGCCCCCCTCCTCCTTCCCTTTTGCTCGGGTCCCCCAAACCCCCCCTTCCGCCCTTCCCCCGCCCTTCACCCCCTCCAGTGCGGCCAAGGAGCTGATGACGTCAGCAGGGGTGCCGGTGGTCCCGGGGTACCACGGCGAGGACCAATCAGAGCGCTTCCTGCAGGAGGAGGCGGGGCGGATCGGATACCCCATTCTGATCAAGGCCACTCAGGGGGGCGGGGGGAAGGGCATGCGCATAGTGCGTCAGCCTCAGGACTTCCTCGCCAGCCTGGCGAGTGCAGCGAGGGAGGCGGCAGCATCGTTTGGCAATGGACGGGTGCTGCTGGAGCGATACATTCAGAGGCCCACGCACATTGAAGTGCAGGTGGGTACGGTGATAGGTTCGGTGGATCTGGTACGGTGGCTCAGGTTCGATGACTCAGGTTCGATGACTCAGGTTCGATGACTCAGGTTCGATGACTCAGGTTCGATGACTCAGGTTGCCGACAGCCTGGCGGCGTGGTGCTCGGGTGTGAGAGGGACTGCAGCTGGTGCACGTGACCATATGGATGCCTTGTCGTTTTGTTGCCCTTCCTTCCCTCCATTTTCCCTTCCTCTCTACCCTCTCCACTCACAGGTGTTTGCAGACAAGCACGGCGATGTGGTGCATCTGTTCGAGAGGGACTGCAGTGGTCTCTGTGCCTTCCCTCTCTCTGCGTTCATCTCTCTCTCCCTCCCCTCTCTCCCTCCCCTCTCTCCCTCCCCCCCTCCCCTCTCTCCCCTCCCCCTCCCCTCTCTCCCCTCCCCTCTCTCCCCTCCCCTCTCTCCCCTCCCCTCTCTCCCCTCCCCTCTCTACCACCACAGGTATTCGCAGACAAGCACGGCAATGTGGTGCATCTGTTCGAGAGGGACTGCAGCGTGCAGCGGCGGCACCAGAAGATCATCGAAGAGGCTCCCGCTGTAAGCTCGCACACAGGCAGCACCCACACGTGTAGGCACTCACCTATTCAGCACGCACATACGCGCCCGCACATAAGAGCTCTTGATTGCGCTGCAGCACGAGGAGGGACTGCAGCGTGCAGCGGCGCAGTCCCTCTCCTCGTGCTGCAGTCCCTCTCAAACAGATGCACCAGAAGATCATCGAGGAGGCGCCCGCTGTAAGCACACATCCGCTTCTCTCATACTAGCAGGGCTGTACTCGTGGGTAGGCCGTTTAAACGGCAGGAGCACGCCTTGTGTCAAGCCTAAAAACACTCAATTCTCTGGTTTTGAGGCGCCTCAAAACTAGAAATCTGCACGGAAGTGGATTGCACAAAGCACGCCTTGTGTCAAGCCTAAAAACACTCAATTCTCTACACGGAAGTGGATTTCACAGCACAAAGCACGTCTTGTGCACGGAAGTGGATTTCACAGCACAAAGCACGTCTTGTGCACGGAAGTGGATTTCACAGCACAAAGCACGTCTTGTGCACGGAAGTGGATTTCACAGCACAAAGCACGTCTTGTGCACGGAAGTGGATTTCACAGCACAAAGCACGTCTTGTGCACAAAAGGCCGTTGTTGCAAGTAGTGATTCTCAGCGCCCCCAATCCGCCCCTCCCCGCCCTATACCTAGCACCTCAGTCTTTGGAGAGAAATATCGAGGGCACCATTCCTCCAAAGACTGAGGTGCTATCAGTCTTTGGGCACCATTCCTCCAAAGACTGAGGTGCTATCAGTCTTTGGGCACCATTCCTCCAAAGACTGAGGTGCTATCAGTCTTTGGGCACCATTCCTTCGACTGGTCATGTTTTACACCATGTGGTTCTTATTCGGGCAGCTAATGGTTCTTGTCGTTCTTATTCGGGCAGCTGATGGTTCTTGTCGTTCTTATTCGGGCAGCTGAGATTTTCTCCGCTGCTGTTGACGCTGCTTTTGAGGCGCCTCAAAAGCCTTCCCCTTCCCCAATGCCTTCCCCCCTTATTGCACGTGCTGCCCTACCAGCCGGGCATATCTGAGGAGTTTAGGGAGAAGATCTGCTCCGCTGCTGTTGACGCTGCCAAGGTGGGGGGGGGGGGGGGGGGGGGTGGGGTGTGGAGGAGAGAGTGAGGCAGAGAGAGGGGTTTGGGGAGAGAGTGGGGCAAAAGGGGTAGGGGTGGATAAGCAGAGAAGGGAGTTTAGGGTGACTTTTGAGTCGACTCAAAAGTCGCAAAAGGGGTAGGGGGGGTTTTATCTCAAAACAGAGAAGGGAGTTTAGGGAGAAGTTTTTCTCCGCTGCTGTTGACGATGCCACGGTGGGGTGGGGGGGAAAGAGTGGGGGACCGGGGGGAAGGAGAAAGGGGAATAAGGGACAGGCGGGGGAGGGGGGAGGGGGAGTCAGGGAGTTCGGGGAGACGTTCTGCTCCACTGCTGTGTGCTTGGGCTTTTGTCACGCTTACGTCACCCTTCCATCCCTCTCCTGGTGCGTGCTTGTGTGCAGGCGGTGGGGTACGAGGGGGCAGGTACGGTGGAGTTCATAATCGACTGTGACACTAACGAGTTCTTCTTTATGGAGATGAACACAAGGCTGCAGGTGA